GGGGGTGGGAGGGGCTGTTGGGGTTTGTTTGTGATGAGATGAGATGAGATGAGGGGTGGATGGGATGGGGTACGAGATTGGGATATACCCGGGCGGATATCGTAGCTCGAATAATGGACTTTGAATGCGTGCTTGACAACTGCCACTCATGATGATGATTGTGATGCTAGTAGAATGGTTCTGCTGCCAGATTCGGAACGTAGGGCACCAAAAGAGCCTACATCTTCAACGGCCACCATTCTCGCGCTTCGACTTCCTAATGCTCACTGTGTGTGCTACTATTCTTCGCGCCGGTGAATGCGCCGGCTGTTCTCGGCGCGGTTAGTTGACCGTAGGGTTAGGGTTGGTTAATTAACCATGATAATTAACCATTTCAAATACTGTACCACGTCCGAACCCTACGAAGGCCTTACTTACCTCCGCTCTCGAAAGACGTGATCCGCTAGCCCTTTTGAGAGATATGCATCTGCTTTTGGGAGGGGATCAGCTGGAGGCAACAGTCAGAAGGGCGTCGTCGCTGCCACGACCATGCATGAGGTGGGAACGTCGTGTGTCGGGAATCGGGATCCCGGGAGGTCGCACCGGGCGCTTCAATTCCGTCGCGGTCATCGTTGGCTTTCGTCGTGATTTGGATGTCCTTGCCATTGCGGGATGCCCGCCGCCGCTATATTGCGGGGAAAGGGGTGTTATGGGCACAGTAACAGCAACAGTTCGTGGCGCGAGGTTGGTATTCAGCACTGGGGTTAGGGTTAACTCGCGTGACCGCGTCGCGTCGGGCCGCGGCAAACGACTCCGAACGCGCTTGGTCTCGAACGGCGACGATCTGGTTCTTTGCCGGAGCTCTTGCGAGCTATCGTTGAGATATTTACGTGCAGCCACCTTCATCACGCTTATGCTTTGATTCTCCTCGGGCAACGGAGCCTGTTTGTATGATGCAGTGGGTTGAACCCATTCTGGGTCTTGTTGACGGCCCCGACAAGCACGGATTCAAGGTCTCCTTTCGCGGCAACCATCTCTCACATATTCTTGATCTCGTAGTGATCTCCGCGGCTCTCTCATGATGTATGCGATACTGAATGAACTACCAGCCTCGAGGCGTTTTCCGGTTCGCACATTCCCCGAACACCGAGCTTGACCGAACCGTCGCGCGACCTCGTCGCGATCATACTCTACTCCGCAGCAGTATCAAAAGGCCGGTGTTAGCCACCCCTGATGCATGCCTGATGGTCCATGGACTTCTATAGAGTAAGCAATATACCTAGTGGCAAGGAGGACGATTGCTTCAGCCGTCGAGGCTGTCGCCTTCTACATGCCACAACCGCAACGTCCACCGCGCGCCGTCATCGAACCCATCATGCCGACCGCCACCTCTCGCCGCTCTTCAGAAATGGCCAGCTCGAACGACAAGGACTTCACCGTGATGTACTCGAGCGTGTCGCGGGACGACAACGACGCCTACGACGAGAAAATCGACATTCATCCGATTTCGAGGTCGTTTACGAGTAACACTGTTGCTATGGTGCAGCATGTGCGGCGGGTTGGAGCGCTGACAATTCCGCTGTTCATGGTGGCGAGCTTTTTGGCTGCAGCGGTGGTCATGGTGTGCCATCATATCTTCTCGTCTGTTGTAGACGGGAAGGGTGTGGACGAGTTCGCGATACGACAGTCGTGGGTTCGCGATCTTGGGAATGCTCTGGCGCAGATTGCGCAGATCCTGCTTCAGGCGTCGGTCGGTGTAGCATTGACCCAAACGGTGTGTGGTATGTCTCTAGCTGGACACACCAGATACTGAACCCGATTGGTAGATATGGTTCTACGTCAGACGATCGTCTATGACCCTACCCGAACTCGACAACCTCTTCGACCTACCCTCTATGATGAGCATACCAACGCTGGCGCTCACCCGGTTCAGCTCATCATACGTCCTACTTCTTGCCTTCGAGATTCAAGCCTTCGCCTTGATCGGCATCTTCGCGCCCAACGCTCTTTCAGTCGTCCCTGCCGGTCAGAGGACGTCTACTCTGCTGGTTCCCTCCGCGGCATTGGACCAGATACCCATTGTCGACAGTGCCCAAGCACCCTTGGAGAGAGTGCACGGAGAGATACCCTGCGGGAACTGTACCCACGCGCAGTACCAGTCACCCTCTCGCATCTTCAGGACGTTGGCTCAGAGCGTGCTCAACCAAGGAGACATACTTCCCTGGAGCGCGCCTGCTGGATGCGGGCAAGCATGCAACTACACACTTGTGTACAGTGGGCCAGCTTTGCAATGCACCGACGTCTCGCAATCCTCCTTTGTGTATCGCGCGGAGCCCTATCCACCTACATGGACCATGACGCCCAACGCGACGAATCTCGCGTTGACCGCATCTCTCAACTACACTCCCGGTGCATTCCAAGTTTATAACGCGACGACCACCTTGGGCTTCATCGAGAACGAGGCCTACACCGGCGTCCCAGGCGCGCTCTTCGAGACAAACCTCACGAGCGACGTATACGCCTTCTCCGTCATGTACTCGGCCAATAACTTCACCGCCGACCACATCCCCGTATCGCTCAAGATGGACGACGGGAGTGCTTTGGGCGGTACATCTTGCGTGTTCTTGAATGCAACGTACAGCACCGACGTGAACTTTTCCAACGGATCTCACGCAGCCATTGCGCGCGTCGTTGAATATGGCCAGCCGTACGGCTCATACGGCTCGAACTTTGGTCTGGATGAGCGGGAGGACTACGCGACAGTGGGCTTGATCGACGCGATGACGCGCTATCTCGCCGGAAGCGTGACGATGATCGATTTCGCCGATGGCTTGGTATCCTACTACACGCAAGCCTTCGAAGGAACGGGGCTGTTCTCTATCACAGAGGATAACGGAACGTCCATTGCTCTGAGGCAGGGTACAAGCCTCGGCCAGACACTACAGGACCTTTGCACAAACCTGACCGCTTCCCTCATGTCCGATTCGGCCAATCTCGGCATACGCACGTCGGTATCTGCGACCGTGTTGCCGAATAGGAACGTGTACAGCTATCAGCCGAGGCGGCTGTGGCTTGTGTATGGGATTGCGCTGGCCGCGGCGTTGTTGGCCGATTGTTTCGGGCTTGCGTGTATGCGCTCCAGCGGTATCGCGCTGTGGCGCTCGTTTTCGACTATTGCGGCGTCTATGCGCGCGCATGAGCTTAATGAGCTTCTTAGTGGTCCTGAGGAGCGTCCGCGCGAGGCGGCGGGTGTTACGCAACTGCGGTACCGCACTGGTATGAACGGGGAGGGCAAAGAGTCGGGGTTCGTTATCGTTGGTGGGTAATGACCCACACAACAACGGAACATGAAGAGCTGGATTTTGCATTATAGGTTGACTCTTGTATGTCATATTTATGCCTGTGGCCAATGAAGCATCACGAAGAACATGACCCAATCGCGTCTGAGCGTATCTAAGCGCATCCCTGGGTGAATGAAAGCTTGTTGTATAGGTCATAATAGCATCACGGCCCATACACCGAGTAAAGACATGCAAATGGCGGAGAGTGATACTATCGGTTTATCTGCAGCACTTGGGGCAGCCGAGTTGATGAGAGATCGCAACGCTGTCGCCGTGGCTAGTGCGGTGACCGCCGTTGCACTAGTCGGAGGAGGTGTCACCGAACCAGCGACGGCGCCGCCTAACGTTGGCAAGGCGCTCGTAGCCGCAGGTGCGGTCGTAGTGACAGCACTCGCAGGAGCAGCGCTCGTGATTGACATGACCTGCGTCGTGGCAGGTGCTGCGGATGTAGATGGGACATCGCCACCTTGCACGACGAAGCGTGCTGCAGTACCCAGAGCTTGAGGGGTGACGGGATACCCGCGTTCGCCAATGCAAAATGCGAACTCAGATGTGATGGTGCACGATATCTCGTTGTTCCCGGAGAGAAAGCGGACGTCCAAAGGTCCCTCTATGAGCGTGGCTGCCGTAGACGTCAGCTGAAGCGATCGGGATACAAGGAGGAACAGCCTCACCTGGATTCGTGAACGTTGGTGCGGGTACGACACCGGTCTGTACACCAGGCAGAAGAGCGTATGTTGTACGGTTCGAGCCAGAGTCGATTCCAAGGACCGAGGCACTGAGTGGCACTTCGTCGAAGCCAGGCACATAGAGTGTTACGTCGGCTTGTACTGGCACAATGGCACCTAGAATCGCGGAGTCAGTCGCAGTACGTCGCGATGAAGTATGACACGCACGCTGAAGAGCTAGTGTGAGGAGCGCGATGGTTATCAGGCCAGGCAGATCGTAAAAGGCATTGTCACGCATGGAAGCAATAAAGATATGCAAGCCGAAAGAAAATATGGGTCCAGCCCGCTGGAAAGAAAGAGAAGGGGATGAAAGCCAGCAGGCGGTGTGGTGGTGGTCGACGAGAGAGTGGACGAAAAGCGCATCTTGTGCATCGGCCTCTTGGTATGCGGTACAGCTTGCTCACGCCGAGCTCTTGATGACCCTGAGTATTGTCGCATACCCATCACTGTCTGGCGGCCGTCTCACTCAGGCTGTCGTACGGCTGACGTGTATGAAGACCAGTATGCTATCGTCCGATATCAGGTCACAGTGTATGCATTGCAAATGTTTGACAGAAAAGCCTCATTCTGAAGGGACCGACGGTGAGGGCAGAGAACAAGCCTGTTTCAACATGGTGGTCAACGCCAGAAAGCACCGCCTCGTCCATCAAACCGAAGTTGAAGGGCAAGTCGACCTGCTCACCACCTCGCAACTCGACTCAACTTGTACCACAATCACAGCAACACAGCTCTCAAATATATCGCGTACTTATACGAGGCTCGCATCTATGTACGGTAGAAGGCTTCCGCTCCGAGCCGCCGGTAGCGACGCGCCCGCAGTGCGGCGCCATCAGACCCACGACGCGGTCCCATGATGAGACTAACGCGGGCCGCCGGTTGGTCGCGTGCTCCTCCTCCTTACCTACACCCAACACAATGCTCAGTCGACTTCTTCAGCGCTCAGCTCCTCTTCTCCGAAGCCTGTCAGCGCATTCGACAGCTTGACTGGAAGTCTCCGCTGAATGTTGAGCGCCGGTGATATATAGAACATCACCGTGCGGAAACAACCAATCGCGAGCCTCACAAAGCCTCTCGATCCAGGAACGCGCCCTGTCAGCTCACCCCGCAATCTGTAATTGCCAGCTGCAAAACGATAGTCCCGCCCTCGTAAAGTGGTTCGAGGATACATTTTGTGCCTCGTCGATGCTGCGGTGCTCCTCTCCTCTGGACCACCACGAACGATGGCCTCCTCGCCTGTCCTCGACGAGAAGTATGCGGCGTCGAGCCCGAACCCGAGTGATGTTGAGAAGGGCTCGGCGTCGATGAGCGAGTCGCGCGAGCAGTCGCGCGAGGAGGAGGTCGACCTTGCGTATGTGGTTGAGCCCGAGGCGGAGCGTAGGTAAGACTATTCGTCACTTCTTACGGGCGAGTGACTGATTGGACGCTACAGACTCGTACGGAGGATTGACGCACGCATCGTACCGACGTGCATGCTCATCTATCTCCTCTGCTACCTCGACCGCGCAAATATCGGCAACGCCAAGGTCTTGAACGCCGATACAGGCGACGACCTTCTCCAAGGAACACATACTTCGGCTGGACAATACCTCACGGCTCTACTACTATTCATCATCGCATACACGATCTTCGAGACGCCGTCAAACTACATGCTTAAGCGTTTCCGGCCTGCTCGCTGGCTCGCACTACTCATGGCGTCCTGGGGGACTCTCACAATGTGTCTCGGCGCGTCGCATAACTTTGCGACTCTCGCTGCTGTACGGTTCTTACTTGGTGCTTTCGAGGCGGGTCTATTCCCAGGCATGGTCTACTATCTTACCTTCTGGTTCGTTTGGCGCCCAATCACCTTGAGAAGGAAGCAGCTGACGTTGATGTGATCGGAATAGGTACACTCCGAGAGAACGTGCCGTTCGCGCAGCGCTCATCTTGGCTTGTGCGACGCTCGCGGGCGCATTTGGAGGTGCCATCGCGTATGGCGTTGGGCATATGAATGGTGTTGCCGGTCTCGAGGCCTGGCGCTGGCTGTTCATCCTGGAAGGTTCGTCTCATACCTATCTACATCTACAATCGCACGTAGCGTGCTAACATCACACATTCAGGTATCCCCTCCGTCATCTACGCAGCCGTGATCCTATTCATTCTCCCCAACTACCCTGAGAACGAGACCTGGCTCACCGAAGAAGAACGCGCTCTCGCAATCGGTCGTCTACGTGGCGAACGCTCCCTCGGCCACGCCCGTCTCACATGGGCGGATGCGCGCGCAACGCTTACCGACTGGCGCCTCTACCTGCACTACACCGTCTACATCTCGATCTCTGTCCCCTTCGCCTCAATATCCTACTTCGCTCCATCCGTCGTAGCAGGACTAGGCTACAAGGGCCTCGACGCGCAACTGTGGACCGTGCCACCTTATGCCATCGCCTTCGTCGTCACCGTATTCGTCGCGTATCTGGCGGACAAGTACGAGGCGCGATCGATTGCGTCTGCGATATCGCTCGTGATATCAGGCGTGGCGTTCATAGCTGAAGGCGCGATTGAAGGCGAGGCGTACAAAGCGCGCATGGGGCTACTCGTCATCGCCGTATCATTCGCATTCGCTTCTATCCCTCCGCTACTCTCGTGGTTGACGGGTAATCTCCGGACGACGGCCGCTGCGACGCTCGCTGTACCGCTCAACGTGTCGATCGGCCAACTCGGGCAGATCGTGGGGATTTACATCTATAAGAGCGCTGAGGCGCCGAGGTACCAGACGGGCCATTTTACGAATGCTGGGTTTAGCATTGTGGGAGCTATGGTAGTTATGGTGTTGAGGACGATCTATGTGAGGAGAAATAAGGGGCTCAAGGAGGGGGAGAGGAGGTGGAGGTTGTAAGGTTTGGTGTGGCGTGTTGCATGAACTCCGACACGAAGAATGTTGTTTGTTGCACGACTAGCTTGCTTGACTGCATGTATACCTTACGCAGAAGTGTCTATGAGACGCAGCTATAATGATTCCCTCTTGAAAAGAGCAGTCCACGTCGACTGATATTATTTCTGTCCGTGGGTACATGCCACGGCAAATGCCGGTGCAGGTCAGAATCCGAACCGCGCGATCCTTGCGCCGTGCTGTCGACGTCCATGCGCCTCCAACGGGTCACCTATGCCTGACCCCGTGTAGCTCTCATGCCCACACTATCCATTGGGCCAGTGCTCATGTCAAAGTGTAGTAGAGACCACATGTATACACAGAATTGCGCCTGTGAAGCAACGGTCTTGCTGAAACCCGGGCAGCCCGTCCTGACGTATGCCGAGATACCCACAGCATGATTCCGTCAGCTCGCTGCATCTGCTTTGCAGTGCCAAGCATCTTGATGCTGTGGTATTCTGAGATATGGCGATGTTTCCTGGCGCTTTGTCACCTTGTACCACTGTCCCGGCCAACGTTCCACAATCATGGCGATGCCTACACGTCCTCTCGTCAGGCCGCTTTAGATGACGAAGTGACTAGCCTTATCGTGCAATCACGATGCTATCATGGTTGCTATGCCCGTCTACTATATCTTGTCCCGAATGTCCCAAATTTGTGAGCTCACTTCCCCTCTGCACTTCATGTCAGCCCCCCACTCCGAATACGCAGAGTTCTTCAACCCGGGCGATTGGGACTCTTCTGCAACGTACGACAATGATCGTCTCTTGACTCGTCGTTCTCGGAGGCGGATGACCTCGTGAAGGAGTTGTCAACGTCGCGTACAAGGACCACGACTATCTTGAAGAAACACATGCGCCGCATAGGATCCGGACGGGTGTATGCCTTGATGTTTGGCACCCTTCTCACTGCTCTTGTGGTGATCATCACACACCATGTCTTCCTTCTCATCCTCGACGGGAGGGGTGTGGACACAGTCGTTATCCCACAGACGTGGGTGCGGGACGTCGGGAATGCTTTAGCTCGCCTGGTGCAGCTATTCCTCGAAACATCCGTTGGAGTTGCCCTCACTCAAAGTGTGCGTTATCTACGTTGCCCACCATGCTTTCTTACTTATCTATCCTTCTAGATTTGGTTCTATGTATTGCGATCTGCGGTCGACCTTCCTGAGCTCGACGCTCTGTTCTCTCTCCCTTCTCTTCTGAGCCTCCCGTCTCTTTCGCTCCGGTTGAGCACTTTGTACGTGCTGCTTCTTGTGATCAACGTGCAGGCGTTCTCGCTCGTTTCAATCCTGGCACCGAATGCTCTGTCCGTCGTACCAGCTCATCGGGAATCGTCGACTCTAAGCATCCCCTTCCCCGCCCTAGACATGATTCCCATCACACAGAGTGTCATACCCGACGTGGTGTCTCACCCTTGCTCTGGCCCGTCCAATGACCCGCGTATCAAGTGCGGCATTGAGCTCGTCTACGCGTCACCATCTACCGGCATACAGAAGCTGGTCGAAGCCGTATTGAGTAGCAGCGCTGCACTTCCTTGGAGTGCACCTGCGGGATGTGGAATAGCGTGCAATTACACGCTCACGTATGATGGACCTGCGTTGAGATGCTCGGATATTCCGCAATCCTCTATCGATATCCCTCAATCAGATGATGATGACCCCACTTTACACAATGCCGACGCAGAGCCGGGCGCGTACATCCAAACCGGAACCGTCTACAATGCAACTACAACTATGGGATATATTCAGACTCTTGATGACGATAGAGCGGGTCCGGTGTTTGTTCCAACGGCTACGAACAGCCCGTACACACTTACCCTGGCTTATGCAACGAACCCATTCTCGAATAACTTCCAGCCTACTTACGACGCTCACGGGTCATACTGCGTATTCGTGAATGCCACATACAGTGCTTCAGTCAGTTTCATGAACGGGTCACAGACGGTTTCTGCACGGGTTCAGCGATATCACGAGCCCTACCAGTCACTCCTAACTGGATTTTCTGCCAATTCTACCGATGACCCCAGCATTCGATCTTCGTATGCCACTCTCGGCCTGATAGATTCGCTGTCCAGATACCTTGCGGGAAGCGTGACCTACTTCAAGGGCTACAACCTTGTCACATCGTCCACTCAAATCCTTGAGTCGGCCCTATTCACAGTCAACTGGACTTACTCGCCCGAGCACCTGAGTAATCACTCTATCTCTATCTCGCCTGCTCTCGGAAGGAACGTCAGCGAGGCGTTGCAAGACATATGTACCAATCTAACCCTCTCCCTGATGTCTGACACTGCCGACTTGAACATTAGGAAGCCGGCGATGGCTACAGTCCTCCCAGACACAAACATTTACGAATACAACGCATCTAGGCTATGGCTTGTATATGGGATAGCTCTCGCTGCAGCGCTTGTGGCGGACTTATTCGGATTGATGTGTATGCGCTTGAACGGGGGCGCTATGCAGCGCACGTTCTCAACCATCGCAGCATCTACGCGTGGTCGCGAGCTCGATGAGCTATTGAGCGGGCCCGATCAACCTTTGCCCGCCGCTGCGAAGGTCGCTAAGCTGCGATATCGCGGTGGTATGTCCAATGAAGGCGAGAGGTCAGGTTTCAGGGTCATCGGAGACCAGGCTCATGGTGAAATCGAGATGGTCGACACGGCTACATTGAATGGCGAGTGTCCCTAGCGGGCATGTCACGTTAATATGCAGTATATCTTAGGCTCTCGCAGGCCGCGATTCCCACGATGATGTCTATTTATATGTACGCACTGTCAGTAGTGGTACACAACAGCGTATGAAATGACTATTCGGCAGCGATGTGTACCGGTTTCTTATGTGCTCACACTCCATACATTGTGCGAGCGTTGGTCCTTCCTAGCTCCAGCACCTTGCTAGCGTCCCAATCGCCCCCAATCGCATCCGCGACAAACTGAGCAGTCCATGGTATCATAGCCGTGTGACACAAAGGTAAACGGCCTTTGAAGCCAGGAAGTGCGTCGTAGAGGTTCGAAGGGACCATGTATGGAGCATCCGTTTCCATGATTATGCGTGGAGGTTCGGGCTTCTGCGCTAATTGACGCACGAGGCTGGCGGTGTTCAGGTTCGAGGCGTACGTGATGACACCTGAAAGAGGGAGCAAGATGAGTACATGCTGAACTTTAAGAGGTGAAGAGCGCATACCTGTAATCCCGATGAATAAGTTAGGGAAGTGGTCAAGGAGTCGCTGAGCAAGCTCAGGTGTGTCCGTAAAGCAGTGTATATGGATCTATTCAAAGATGAGCCATGACGTTGAATGGGTCGAGTATTTTGCAAGCTGACCTTGTGCTCCTTGGGAACTTCAGCCTTCAGAATACGTTCGATGTCTTCGTCCGCTTCTCGTGTGTGAATGGTGAGCGGCTTTCCCAGGCGCACAGCTTGGCGTAGTTGTCGTGTGAGCACCTGTTGTTGGAGGTCGCGAGGAGAGTTATCGTAGTGATAGTCGAGTCCGATCTCTCCCCATCCAACGCAACGAGGATGTGCCATGGCTTCTAGACTAAGACCAATGAGATAAGGTCAATCATGACAGTGGACAGGACTCACATATCTTTCTCGACAGCGTCATCGTATACTTTCGCCTCGTGCCTGACAAGGCAAGTCAGGGAATTCAGCCTTCACATGAGCACGGATGTGCGTACGGGTGTACACCTAGAGACGGAGTTCAGAGAATGTTCAATCCGGTGAACCAAAAGACAAGCGACTACCCATGACAAACCAGTAGTCAATCCCTCCCCATTTCTCCCGTCTACTAGCTTCATCCAGTGCAGAGTCCGCAATCTCCTTCCAAACTCGTTGTACCGGTGCTTCACACCACACGTCCACGATGCTCTCGATACGTGGTCGCCCTTCACCAGGAGCATACACGCCACGAACGAAGTCGTACAGTGTGTCAAATCGGCCCTCTTTGTACTTTTGTCGATAGGCTCCGAATGTAGAGACCAGGTGCGTGTGCGTGTCAACGATAGGTGCGCTGCCTATTGCGAATGGAGGCACAGGCAACAGCAAAGCCTCTTCTGGCGGCCCGGATTTCTTTTTGCCCATCTTTCTATTTGAAGATTTGGTCTGCGTTGCACAGGAGCGTATTTGACTGGAGAAGACTCGTTGCGGGAGCGACGAGGCGTATCTGAGCGCGAGCATGCAGGGAGAAAGCAAGACGCGTCGAGTCCTGCGCGTATGCACCGACATTCGGTCCGAGCGCCGGACGCCGGACTAACTTCATACACTTCGTTGTGGACCAGTCGGATGCTTATGGTATGCGGAGTAGCTATCATGATGCTCCTAAACTTCATCCGTACACTGCATGTCAAGTCAGATACAGCAGACGTAGTGTATAGTGTTAGCGCCTTATAAGTGGAGATAACGAAGGATTCCGTCTGAATGACCTCGAGTCTTCCTGAGACTGCACTGCAGCGCCTTCCCTTCTTGGAGTCACAACCTCTTTACTGGCTAACTCCCCCAGTGTCATAGAAGGGGTAAATGCGCCCGTAGATGCCATATCTTGTCGACCGAGGGTTTCTCGCAGCACGCTCTGGAAGCGCAAGGACCACCAGCCTCGCTCCTCCCGCTCTTGCTGCACGGTGTCACCGCCTCTTCCGCGACCGATATCGTTGAGTTGTACAGAAGGGCTTTTGGGAAGAGGTAAGCCGGATGATAGGATGGCCATGACTGAGTGGGCGTCTGAGTGTGAGTCCAGCCCCCGCGAAAGCCATATCGGCAAGGACAAGGCTCGGCGCGTATGCTGTGCGCAAACTTCGAACGCAGTCGCCCATCGAACTGTGGCGTCTTCAACATCGAGAGGCTCCCCCGATGGAGATATCGTGGGAACTGTGAGCGTTGCGGCGGCTACGGGCGCCGTCTCGGGATCAACACCACTCTTGAGATCATCTGCGTCGATGGGCAGGAGGTCGACTTCCAGGGCGCCTCCCTCACGCCGGATACTCAGGACTCGCGATACACCAATATCATCCAGCAACCGCCAGATCTGCGTGATGTGCGCATCCACCGGTCGAATGGGAGAGCAAAGGAGGGCCAGATCGGTGAAGACGAAAACATATAGTGTTGATTGCTTTGATGGTGCTTGGGCTCGGAGATGGAACGATGTACTGCGAGGACGCGTGTAGGGGTCGTCGTGCGGTGCGTATGTATCGTGGACATCAAAGTCATCCGTCGTTGCAGGCGTGTCCGGTAGGGACGCGGATGTTGCGGTAAACGGTGACGCCGGCGAAAGAGCAGAGGAGTCGGTCGAGTTTGACGAAGATCCAGCACGATGCGATCTGGTGTGCAGAGCATCAAAGGGATGGGGCTGCCTCTCAGCTATTCGCGCGCGCATGAGCGCCGAACCGAAAGCATGGCTCTTCGCTCGGGAGGCCTGGTCTAGTCCTGCAGGGTCATGGTGTTGTCGGACAAGTCTTCCGCGGGCCAACAGACGTCGCTCTCGACTCGCCAGACCGAGTGAGGCCGGTAAGCCTTGGATTTGAGAGAGTATATCGGTGACCAAATCGTATTCGCGCTCTCGGGCTCTGACCTCAAACATAACGCGGACCATGAGTTCAGTCGAGTGAAGCAATGCATAGGTCGAAAGGTGATCCGAATGATCTCGAGGCGTGAGCTCCCATAGGCGCTACTCATCTCAATGAGCTGCAGGGCATCAAAAGGGTAGAGAGGGTGGCTTACATGAAACCGCTGTGAGTATCCTTCCAGCCTACCCACCGGCTCTAGAAGGAAACTGTCCAGAGTCCAGCCCTGCGCATCCTCTCTGCGCTCCTGTAGTCGGATGAATTCGCCGAAGTCACTCCGGCGATCTCCACGCATCGCCTGGATCTCACGTACGACGTCCTCCACGCGCACAAGATACGGTTGATGCACCTCTAGGCGGGGTATGGAAGTGCGCAAAGTCTCAGCAACGCGAAGCACAACGGGGTATTGGGCGACCCGCGCGGCATGCAAAGCAGAGACTAGCTGGGCGTGAGCATGGGCGATGTCTTCAAACCAATCGAGCAATCGTGCGATGGCCGGAGGCATGCCCGGAAGCCAGACCCGGGAGTCTTGAGCACGGAGAGGTCGAATGAAAAGGCTGATAGCGCGCTGGCATGCTGAGACAAACGATTGCTCTGACGAGTGCATGGCCCAGATCATCTCTTGCCGTTCAACTTCCACTTCACCATAGCGATCGTGTAGCGAGGCAAACTCTGCGGGCGATAGCGTCGCGCGCCACGTCTCTGCATCTTCAGGAGGCTGAACTGTCGGGGTGTCTGGTTCATCGTCTGGGTTGCCAGCGCTATCACTGTAGAGGGACTGCGCGCTTTCACTCGCCACGAGGCTCGCAATTGATGGAGTTGATGGCATAGAGTTGGCTCGCGCCCTGTTGGAAGACTGCAATGGACGCGGCGACGACGTTGAGAACTGAACTGAGCGAGGTGATGTCAGACCACGAGGCGGCTCATGATATGGAGATGGTGCCCGTGATGCTTCCCGAGAACGAGCGGTCGTTCGTCGAGCTGGAAGAGTTGGTGGAGAGGGTGGTCGCGGTGACCTTCTCATGTTCTCGCCGTGTATGCTGCGTTCCGCATCGTCGTAGTCCTCCTCGTCCCATGAGCGCCTCCTACTGTTGTGCTCCCTAGCCTCAGACCATTCCGACCTCCTTCCATCCCTATCGTGGTGCGGAGAACTACGGGTCAAGTCGTCCCGCCGTTGCCGCCCTTGAGTCCAAGGTAACTGTGCCTCCGGACTATCTTCCCGTATCTCATCCATCTGCCCGAAGATGGACTCAACTCCGATGCTCAGACCCTCAGCATGATCCTGCTCATCCCAGCGGTCGCTCCCGATAGTAGTAGCACTCTCTGTCGGTCGGATGGTCGGTGGCGGGCTATCTGAGATACCGAACGCCGCTTTGGAGGCAGCTTCCTCGCGCCGTATGCGATCATTCAAGGTATAAGTCTCGGAGCGCTCAAGTTTGGGTGGAGCAACTGAGTTCCGCGGGTGTATTGGAGGTGGCGGGAACCGGCGAAGCGCGGTCTCGCGCCGAGAGTCAAACGCGATCGTTTGCGACTGCGACGGGTCCGATGCGTGCCTATGAGGAACCGTCGATCGTGGCGAAGCTACTGAAGCTCGAGACGCGCGCCGAGAAGCAGAGGGGGTAGGGTAGTGCTGAGTCGGTGTTGAATCTGCGCCGAGCTCTTCAAGATATTCTGGAGCGCCGCCGCGGTAGTAATCGTCGTCATCCTCGACGGCAACCGACTCTCGACCATTGCCCCTAACGCGAACGTCTCCCGGACCTCGATCGTGAACACCGCTGACAGCAAGCCCTGGTTGACCTCCGTATTCACTCGAACCATCATCCGACTCTTCTTGGCGAAGCTCCGTAACAGCCTCTCTACGTAGACGGTCGAATGTAGCCTCACGCTCCAGAACATCCACTATGCCTGAGAGAGCGCGTTCGCGGCGACGGTCGTCGTATGGTGACGCCGTACGAGAGCGACTATGGGGCGAGCTAACGGGAGCACTCTTCGAGGAAGCATGAACTGCTTGTCGTGGGGATGGCGCGCCTCTGTCGCGTCGAGGGGTAGATGGCGGATGAATGTACTCGGACTCGCTGTCTTCATACGTGCTCTCGCTGCCGTCAGTTCTAGCATCGTCGGCGATAGGACCGACGTCTTGGCGTTGTCGAAACTCCCGGTGGTGATCTCGCATGTCGAGCGAGCGAGCTTCTTCATATGCCGCCCTCTGCGCTTCATAGTGTTCTGCCTCCGAGTCATCTCCGCCGTCCTGGTACGCTACATGCATGCTTCGTTCCGGCACGCGGACGTTGAGTCCCAATCCAACACTTCTTCGCGGTTCTGCACGCTGGCGCGCATGCGGCGTTGGCGACTCGCGGTCATCGCTTCCTCGTTGCCTGCGCGAAGTATGCGTGTACTCGGGCTGCGACGGATACTGGTTGTAACCGCGACCATATGAGCCATCGCGGTCGCTGTCACTGGAGCTTGGCTCAACAGTAGCGTTCGCCACTACAAGCCGCCGTCGTGGCGCAGCACCCCATTCCCAACTCGACGTGGAGACGTCCGTTGATAGCGCTGGAGCATGCGCTGCTTGAGTACGAGCAGGTGGCTGAGGTGTTTTCGGTACGCGTGCTGGAATCCTCGAGCCAGGAGGAAGCGTAGCTGACCCAGGATCAGTACGGTTCCGGCGATGCTCAGAGAACTCGGAAGACGGCTATAGTGAGATGAGACGTGATATGTAGCTCGTGTAGTGCAATTACGCACCGCACTTGTAGCCTGCCTTAACGGTATAGAAGATGGGCCTCTGCCAGCAGCGCCCGTTCCATTCCCAAATCGGGCTGTCTTCCCCGGAGAGCGATGAGGTGAAGCCGCTGCATACGGTGCTGTAGGTGTTTTGAGCGCGCTCTTGAGAGCAGGTACTGGTATCCGTCCAGATCTCGGGGTAGGCAGACGCGAACCGTCGTTTGGAGGAAAGGGTCGTTGCGGAGACATCTGCTGTTGCGCTGGGTACCGCTGCGCTGTCGCCGAGTACGTCGGTGCAATAGAGGGAGCAGCCGGTTGAGCCGGGCGGCTGCCAGGGTTTGGTGACGAAGGATGCGTCATCCTGTCGATCGTGTCGCGTAACGACGGTAGCAAGTGAGCTTCAAGCTCTGGCACCTCGCCCTTCCAATGTTCGTTCTTGCTCGAAGCGCGCTTTGTGTTGGGCTTTGAGGATGAGGATGATGCCCCGGTAGACCCGCTGCGCGTAAGCGAAAGTTTACGCGTGAGCTGCCCCAGCCGTGAGGAGGCGGCAGCGTCAGCCGATGAAGACGAGGGTGATGCGGGGAGATGAGGAAGTGTGCTTGGTGGTATAGCCGCACGACCGGAGAACGATGAGGGGTCTTCTGTTCTTGTAGGACTCTTGATGTTACCGGCGGCGGCGAAGTGCGCAGGAGGGAAGAATCGCGGTGCATTCGACGCGGGGAAGTTAGGGGCCACGCCGTGAGACTGGCTCTTCGTGCGAGTGCGAGTGAAGGGCATATGCCAGGGCAGCAAGGTAAGGGATCAGAGCATAAGCAAAGCGATGGACGTGGTTCGAAGTTGGAGACTAGGCAACGCGTGCACCTGAGTGGGATCGTTGTTTGCTCGCCACTGTCTGGGTGACGACTGAGGGACATCTGAGACACTTGAGGATGCATTCCCGACTGAACACTCTTCGCCGGGAGCATGTAAGGTGCATATATCCGCAGAGTACAGCATTCCATAGAGTAAGTTCGGTCCCAGAGTACGCCTAGCGACTGGGATGGAGGGACGAATTGAAAGAGGTTCAAATTCCGACTTCAGCATCTAAATCCCGCAATGACAGTAGCGGCTCTTGAAGGGGATCTCCCGGCATCCCACGCATATAGTCAGATACGCAGGTAATCCAACTAGACGCGAGGGAGTAGACGTGGTAACGCCCATGATCGTTTAGAAGAACGCCTGCGTCGAGCGCCCACCAAGGGATATATTTTGCCATCACTTTTGTTCTCACGATTCGGCAGACGTCGGCGTCGTCGGCGACTCGGCGCGTCAACGCGTCAACGCGCTCGACGCGTTTGACGCGTACGGGTAGGCAACTTGCCCCGAACTACCACTTCGCTTGCCCTTTATAGTATAACTGCCATAGGGCCGCACGCGGCAAGACCCGCTACGGCTTGCAAGCTCGAAGCAGTACATGCGACGCGGGATGGATGCACGGCGCACTTCCGCAGTCAGAGTCCGCACAATCTCGCGATGGGTATGTCTTTCTGGGTGATTCAATTTATTCTGGATCGACAGCCCGGTCAGCGACGGGCATCTATCTCTCTCTGCTGCGTACGCCATCGAGCCTTCGGCTGGAGGACTTGATGATCTGGGTTGTACATAGACATCGTACTACTGTACTTAGCGGTGTTTCGGCATGGTTCGGCAGGTTCATCAAAGGCTCCCGACGACGCGGCATCTTTCCTCGCGCGTCGCGGAAAATGTGCTTTCCAACTTTGGGCCGCGACCACCACCACCACCAATATATTTCTTCCTTTCAACTGAGTACACGAGCAAGGATCCCGACGATCAAGACCCCGCGAAGCCCTCGCACACTTTCAGACAAGCTGGCACGTCGTCGACTTATCGTCTTGTGTTAGGGCAGCGAGCTGCTCCTTCGCGCGCGATCGCAGGTCGACTCCCGGAGTCGACAGCACTCATTGTGCGGCGGATCCCCACAACTTCCGTACTTCATTCCATACCCTAGTACCATAACTAACGAGCCATCCTCAATTGCGACTCGAGGTCGCAGCCGAGACCTCAACGCGAGCCTGAAGGGTCATCGCATATACCATCGAATCAAGCACAAACGACTCGTTTTTGGTGCCATCAATCGTGTCAGGTCGGTATGCTTAGTTATGGTTGCAGATCGAGTCCACGGCTTGGCGCCAGCATCCAGCAAATGCCAGGCTCCCGCAGCAGTGCTTCGCGGCTTGCGGAGAGCGTGTTAGTGAATGCTGCCCAATGCTACACTTGAACTTACTCGTTGATTCTACTCACATCACTCGCGGCGCGTGCATAACGCTCGGTGCTCTAGCCCCGGCCCGCACACGTCAATCCAGTTTATTTATATACTTCGCTCTCTTCGTCCGATCCTTCCTAATCTCTTCGTTCGAGTTGATCGCCTTTCTTCTTAGCTCTAATGCCCCCCCACCCCTTCCCTCTCTCCCTCAGACCTACTCCCTCCACGGACCACAGCCCGCCGCCTCATCATGCACCATAGCACCCATACAAGTAATGCACTCTTTCTGCCACAGACAGCAAGCTCGTAAGCTGTTACTCGACCGTACAATCAGATATCTGTACACGCTACCAATCGTGCTCACCCTGTCAAGGTCGTTCGCGGATTGCTCCGACGAACAGGCGCCCAGCGATGCTGCTGAGGTAAAGACAGCGCAATAGTACACATAGATAGCGCGGGCCATTTGTAGCAGTTGGTCGCAAACAAGACCGAGTTCCAACTTCGCTACATTTCAACCCTAACCTCAGAAGCCGCCGGAGCTCCCGACGGCCTTACGGCATCAGGCACGATTTACAGGGGCTCCAAAACGCCAGCCATTTCAGATGTTGAGTTCGTGCAACCAAGACCCACTACTAGCGTAGCGGGAATCTCCCAGGCTCGAGACTTCTGCTTGCTCTCTATCTGTTGTTTTGCTCGAGTCTGTGCCATGCCTAATATCCTCTCCAAAGCTACTGTCACTGCTGTTGGCCTAACATGTAAATCGGTCCTAAACCTGGGTCTATGTTCAATGACTGTGAACGGCCTTCCAAATATTATGCGGGCGTTAGAAAGCGATGAGAGGGACAACGGTAGAGGGATTGTCACAGGTATGCTGTACTACTCGTTGTGTCAGCTTCTGGCGCTGACGTGTAGATCAGTGTCCAATCATATATCTACGTGAGCGCCCACTTGAACGTGCGCTTCTGTGGTATTCTGACTGGAGGACAGATTAGATGACCCAATGACTTGGGGAGTAATGCCTGTGAACACGTACTGGAACTCCCGTAAAACGCGCTGGGTGCTTGGAGCATCCGACATCATGTTCATTAATCCGTACGTTCTATATCTTCCTTATACCGGGATATGACTGACTGGGATACGCCAGGTAGTATACTGTCGGCATTCTTTCGGAAGGGTCAAGTGATCGAGACTTTTCGAGGAAGGGGCATTTACCAGCCTGCAGTAGACCTCGCCATCCAGAAATTGACGCAGGGAGAATGGGCAAGTCCAGCTATCGACGTCTGAAGGGGATACGTGTCTGACCAAACTGTCAGTTGCACTTATTCGGCGAGGGCTACGTCTCGCAGCCTGCGCTGCAATCGGTAGAGCACAATAAGGGCCGACTACGACGTTTCAAATGGGGAATGTACGTCCACCAGTCACTGCGCCACATCCTATCGTGTCGGCTGACCTATATTGACAGCGGCCGTATGCTCATGGAAACTCCTAGACCACCCGTCATCATACCAATGTGGATAGCCGGCTTTGATAGGCTTATGCCAGAGGGACGTCGCTTCCCGTTCAACTTCATACCACGTCTCGGTGCGAAACTGAGTGTGACGTTCGGCGAGCCCATCCCACCGGAAGATATCCTGTCTGCATTGCAGCGTCGCACCGGCATCCCGGCAAACGCGTCGCAGACGGCCAGCACTTGGGTCGCGAAGACGCCGGAGGAGCAAGCGGATCGAAGTTTACGAAGAGACCTTGGAACGGATGAGGGAAGCAGGGATATACGCATAGCAGTGACGGATGTGGTGCAACGCGCTGTAGAGGCGCTCGGCAGACGAGTATCCGGTGACATGCTGGGTAAACAGAACCCTTGAATTTGCAACGTACATTCACTACTGATACGTATACAACATTGCTATGATTACCATTGCACGCATGCATACGGTCACTTCATTCCACTCAATCGCTTCAGAACTTGTTTTGCTGTACGGTCTTCGCCCTCGGCGACGTCCGCCCACGCTGTTTGCATCTCCATACGTTCTTTGTCGACAATGATCCACACACGGAACGTTCCGTCTGCGTTCGCCTCGTTGGCGAACATCGGCGACGACTTTTTCTTCTCTTTGCAGAAATCTATATACTCGTCAGTTTCAGACATAGACCGTGGAATCTACAAGCACGTACCGATGAGCTGCTGCTTGAATGAGGGGAGAGCAGTCACAACTAGTTGATCTGGTGACTCTGAACGCTCACGCTTCCTCTTCGACCTGGTCTTCTGCGCAGATGTAGACGGCGAAGGGGGAGTGACGGGAGCCTCTGACTTCCGTGCCTTTGAGGGACTCGCGGGCGGGCGGCGTCCATTGTCAGTGGCTCCCGAAGCTCTCCTGGGCGGCGATGGCAAGGCTCCCCTTGGTGATGGTGAGCGACGACCTGAATCTCTCCGCTCTGGAGAAGGCGGAGAAGGTGGTCGTTCACGGGAGGAATAGTCCCGCGGCGGTGATCTGTCATAGCCGGCCGCATAGCCCGTATACGCGTCCGGATATGAGCGCGAATCTGAGTGCTCAGGCGGCCCGTAACCATTGTCGACTGGGTGTGAGTACGGATCCCGCCCGTACGAATCAGGCGGATGACGGGAGGGATGTGCATAGTTGGAATACGGGCGATGGCGCCCGTAGTATGAATCAGATGGAGGTCCATATGGATCAGCATAGGTGCCATAAGACGAGGGTCTCGACGGCGGATGAGCTGACTCCTGACGATATCCGTCGTGGGGATCTCTGTGTAGCACGGGATATTGTCCATGCGCAGGGTAGTCGTAAGACGATGCATGCGGCGGCACGTCCGGAGGAGTTGGTCGGGGAGCGCTGTAGTGTATTGGTGGCAACACTTGCGGTCCAGGTGTAGACGCTGGCGTTGCGTACGGAGGCGTCGGGAGTTGAGGAGGCTGCGCAGCGCGATCAGAGCGATGGCGCGCTGCCGCACGATCTGATGATGGTCCACCCAACGACGGGGCAATACGCGAATGACGTGGACCCGTGGGCGGCAATCTTTCCCTTTGAGCGCCTCCTGCAGGCGCGGGCGCTGCAGACTCTGTGCGCATGCGCTTGAAGCTGGAGTTCGGACCGGAGAGTACGGCGTCCTGTTCCTCCAACTTCCGCTTCCTGTAAGCGGTGGGCCCGACGTCAACAACATAACCTTCAGGAGGTTTTCTTCCACGGAAACGAAGGAACTCGACTGCCCCGTTCTCAAACGCCAGATCAAGCACGGCCAGTTTCGCGTCATTGCGGGATCTGTACTCGGTCGGGACCTCCCAGGTTCTAACCTCGTCCGGAGAAGGATCGAACTTCAGCTTGAGGGTCATGATGCAGCCGTGCGCTTCCAAAACGAGTCAGTGAAAGGAATGACAGTCATACGTAAGACATTACCGTCTTTATCTCTGGTGAACGTCCAGATCTCGGGGTGGCGACCGGGCCAGATCTTACTGTACTCCAGGGTGACCATAGGAAGAATGCGCATCGTGATATACTCTTTCAACCGATGCGGCAGCTTCTCCTCGCACTCGTGCGCGACTTTCCGAATCCATTGTCCGACGCCCTGTGACATCGCGAGTAGAGTGACGGCGACCTTGGCGTCTGCCCTCTTCGGGTAGATTGGATCGACGAGATAAGACTTGACCTCTCCGGGACGGCTCAAGCGAAGTAGAAATCCGTGCACTGAAAGAACGGTAAGCGACCTTTGTGGCACGACAACACAAGCCCACTTACGGCCGTACTTGGAGTCAGGTACCGGGATGTACCTCAGGGTCAACCTGCCTCCTTTAGCTGACTGCGCGAGTGCGTTGAGCCATGGAACGGCGCTGATCTCGTCGATCTTCTTGCCCACGAATTCGGCTTCAGGGAACGGTCGCGGTAGAGACTCGAAGAAGTCTTCCACCGAGGCCGCAGTCACGGCAGTCACAGGCGCGTCGGCAGCCACAGCATGCTGATTCGAGTAATCTGGCGGTGCGGGATGCTTTTGTCCGTTACCGTGCTTGATGAACTCGATCACACCATCTGCCACCGCTTCGTCAGCGCATGCAGAACGAGCATCTTCAAAGTGATCATAGGTGGCATCCACAGAGTATATCTTAGCGCTATGCGCAGATAGAGCGACGCGAAGGGCGCAACCAAACTCTATCAAGAACCACAATCAGAGTATGCACGTCAAAGTATGACAGTGTGCACGTACTCGGCGCCGGCTTGAACTCTCGCACGGCAACCCAATGCGGTTTGACGCGCCCGGCACGCCACTCCACACAACACCTCTCGATTTCTTCGACTGCCGGACTCGGGTCCCGTTCAGGGTGCTCAATCTCAACCCCTTCGCTTTCCGGAGCGTCCAGAGGAGCAAGGACAAGCCCGCGCTTCAGCGTGTGATCGGGTGCACCGTTCTTAATGAAGTCAAGGGCACCCATCTCAACAGCTACGATAGCAACGGCTTCCCTGGCATCTGCCTTCCGCTCGTATTCAACCACAACAGAGTATGAGCGAGACTGTCCGTTTGGACGAGTGATCGTCAAGATGCATTGCTTCTCTACATCGGACATGAGTTGTGGCACTGATAGATGAATCACGCGAACTCACCATCGCCATCATCGATGAACTCGTATTTGAGTGGCTCTATACTGCCGAGCGTCTGCGAGCAAACCTGGTTTAGAAGGAAGAGCGGCGTCGCTTTATGGGCGGGAAGCTTCTTCTCTTCTTCTGCAGCAGGATCTACCACACGGCGAGCGACATAGGATAGAGTCAGATTTACCTCCGGAGGAGGCGGATCCAGGTATGGCGGACTCAGAAATTCATCCAGAGTCAAGGTACCGAGTTTCATTAGATTGCTAGTTACAAGATCTGCCGCCAATTGAAGCGAGGACGCAGGCGCTGTCAAGACTAGATTGCTGGACGATATGGCACTGCCTGTGTCAGAGGGTGCCATAGAAGCCCTCATAGCTGCTTCCGCGTCCATGTCAGACATTACTGACATCCTGGAAGGTGATCAGGTCGCAGATAACCGAAGCAGGTCGAGCAGTCACTTATATCGATGATGGTGGTTGAGAGCAAAACACGCGGCTCGTTGACGAAGTCCGTCCGGCAATCGCCGCCGCGGGTGGCACACGGCGGCGGGCGACCATTGTGCACAGATTCGCCGCTCTCATGTTCTCTTTCTCTCAAACATGGAAGGGGATCACTCTGCGTGAGGCTAGTTGCACAGCAGATTCTAATGTAGTATGTATGATAGACAACCGCTACTGTTTCCATGATGCACCCGATGTGGAAAGATGAGACATAACAAATTACTCTCTTCACAGTAGTGCAGTAAGAGCAGCGATGACGATGAACAGTGAGCCAGAAGTAGTAGCGACATGCTTAGCACCTGCACTGCTATCAGATGGCGTTGCGCTTGTCGCAGTTGAACTCGACGATGCACTACTGCCTGTCGGGGCTGGTGTGACAGACGCGCTGGAACCGGCTGAGGCGTTGGCTCCAGTGGATCCCGTGGCCGACGGAGAGCCAGCCGTCGCCGTAGCTGCTGCTGCATTGCCCTGAACAAGGAAAGGTCCCTGCGTACCCAGAGGGATAGGCGTCGAGTCGTACCCGTTGCCGACACAGTCTGCGACACCGTTCGCGATAGTGCAGCTGATGTCAAGCGTCATGCTGAGCTCCGGTACGCTATCAACGAGATGAACATCGTTGGGACCTTCAACAAGGATCGCTATGATTATGTACAGTCAGCATATGAGGCAGCAATTGGGATAGAGTCACGCGCCTGTACCGAAGAAGCCGACATCCTCATCTGTATTTGTCGCCACACCGGGCATGAGCGCCCATGTTGTCCTGCCGTCCGCGCCCACACCAAGTTCCGTGACGCTCAAGGGCTGCTCGTCGAACCCGGGCACGACCAGGCTCACATCGGCAAGCGCGACTGCATTCCCGCTCAGCACCCGAATAGACCTTGATTCATATGAGACAACATACCTTGATATGAGGTGACCATCGCCAGAGCAGCGAGGATGGAAGGAGCGGATAACATGCTTGAAATGAAGGAAAGACTGCTCAAAAGACAGTGGGGTTGCGGACAGCCAGGCGAGAAGGGCAATAAGATTGAGCGTGTCGTGCGACGCAAGCTCTTCTTATATATGATCTGATCTGGCCCTGACTCAACTTCATCTTCAGGCGGCCTTGTGTGCATGTAAACATGCATGGTCCGCGTTAAGGCCCATTTTATCGCATGGTAGCAAGGGGAACCGAACGGGGAGGTTTCACCGCGTGCAAGACACCGCGGGCCCACGGCGCAAGGCACAGGCGACTGCAACTTGACTCCGTCTTCCATCGTCACGTACATGGTGAATCCGGTCGAAAGGGCAGACAATTGTATCTCGTTCTTCATGGTCATCGCAACATGGTTCCGGGGCTCGGAGAACCCGGCTTGAGGCAAACGAATCCCTTCACCGGACCGGGCACGTGATCTTGGAAGCGTTCTCATTGGCTTGTA